AAAAATTAAATTATAACATACGTAATTTAATTTACGTGAGAAAATGTCCTGAGGTTTGAAGCCAATAAATGTTGATAAGCTGCACTAACTACTTTGCAAAGAAGGCTAAAAATCACATTTGAAATATTTCTAAAAATGCAAATTGAATTTAAGAAACGGTCCCCAATAAATTTTTACAGCTGTTGATTCAATCAAGAGTGAGATATCTTCTTTAATTCATGGTATGTTACCGAACATTAGCTGATACAATACAATCATGTTATCACTTTTTTTTTGTTGGATGTTTGAATATTATAGGGGTGACCTTCTTAACGAGCAAAAAAGTCCATGAATCTTTAAAGTAAAAACTAGTTGTTCTACAAAACCATGGTGAATGTATTTCTTATACTTTCATTATCATAATACATACATAAAAGGAACTCAATGGTTTAGGTCAGCAGTGATCAACCGAGTCAGTACATTTATTGGATGTGCATAAATAAATTTGGAACATCTTTACTGATGACGTTATAGTCATCTCAAAAGACAGCCATATCACTGGAACTAATCACTGGTGGGGATGAGTTAAGATGGTGTTGTAAATGGAATGTACACAACTGGTTATTATCTTAAACAAAATCTACATGTTGTCCTCCGTTTTTCCATGATCTCTGTACAAATTGATACCAAGCCATAGTTGGCATGACAGGTGCATCTTAACAAATATACTGGAGTAGAATTAAGGTTTAAGGTTAAGCTCAGACAATTTTCATCAGTGTAAATGATTCGGGAACACTACTTGACAGGTTGTTGTAAATGGAATGTACGTAACTGGTGATCGTCTTAAGCAAAATCTACACTTGTGAAGGAGATAAGTAAATGTAATCATGTGGCATGGTACACAAACATATATCATTTGTAGCTGTTGAATGGAAAATACACCACTTGTATGTTATGGAAGATATGTCATGGTAAGGGATGTTATATATATATATAAGTTGTAACCTTGTGTTTTTTGTGAAAATTACATCACTTAGTTAAATGGAACATATATTGCAACATGATGCAATAATGCACAAAATGCACAAAGTGTTGGTTAGATCAATGATACATCACTTGTAGCTGCGTAAATGGGAAGAAGACGGAGAAAGGAATCTTTTGTAAAAACAAAATAAATGAGTGCAGGGGATCTGACTTAAATGATAACCATCTACGGAGCCAAGCAACGCATTAAAACAAAAAGTTACAGAATGGAAAATGTGTTTTGAGAATTTTACCAAAAACACCCTTGCCCTTACAGAATGAATTACACTGTTACTGCCCTGAGAAATAATTACCCTTGTTCTTTAGGTCTGTAATCATGCTCCTTCTACTCCGGTATATTTGTTAAGGTGTACCTGTCTTGCCAACTATGTATTGGTATAAATTTTACGGAAATATGGAGGACAGGAGCAGTCACAAGCAGCTACACCAGCTCCTGGAGACATGGCATGATCCCACAATTCCTAACATGCGTCCTTGCTCCAGGAATCTAATAGCTGTCTGCCAATCCATGGTACACTGCTGAGTGAAGAGGAACTAATCCTCAGTTAATATCGTCTTTTGACCTATGCATTTGAAGCCAAGTTCACAACACGCTGTGTGCACTAAATCTTAAATAACTATCTCAAGGTTTGTGTATAAATCACTGTCCTTCTAAAAATTCAAAAAGGACTGGTATGAAATAATTCAATATGGACTGCTATGTCAATTATACAGAAAAATTCACTTACATATTTGCTTAATATAATTGTATCTTTCAAAGAATTTTGGCACTGCACTTAAATGTAATGATGCAAAGCCAACTTTACTGAGAGTTGCTGGAATTTAAAAGGTTTAAAGGGACACAAGTCCTATATAAGTTATACCTTTGTAACTAACCAAGTTCATTCATAACACCAGCCAACCTGTAAACACCCCTATGATGTGAACTGAAAACTGATTTGCAACATTTAGGTTACACAACCCAAGACTCTAGCTAAATTTGATAATATTCCAAAAAAGCATTTTTGGCCTAAATCTTGTCATTTGGTTTTTAATCTACTGACATTCGTTATTTAGCAAATAAAGTTTACTGTGCCCATGTCCCCTTTTGGGAAAAGATTTTCTGTAAATCAAGGTAAAACATAGAATGAGGGCACAAAAAAATAATAATAAAATAGCTGTAAAATGGATATGCCTATAAATAACACACAAAATATGACTTTAAAA